CCCCAAAACCCCAAAACCCCAAAACCCCAAAACCCCAAAACCCCAAAACCCCATTCTAGAAATATAGGTAGAAATTGGATAGAAGGTGCTACGTTGCATTAATTAATCCCAAACCGGATTCTTTTGCCATCCGTATTGTGGGTAGTCCCAGTCTTCTGGGTTAAAGCATCTCTGATTCTTATCTAAAGCATTGATCTTCTCCATGTCTTCTTCATCTAAGTCAACATTTAATGCATCAAAGTTCTCTTGGATTCTTTCTTTGGTCATGGATTTGGGAATGACGATGACACCTCTTTTCATGTTCCAAGCTAATGCAACCTGGGCTACAGTAGCGTTATGCTTTGTAGCAATCTCTGCTAAGGTCTCATCTTTGAGCAGATCACTAGCAGTAAATCCTGCAGCACCAATTGGAGCGTAAGCAGTAATCTTTGTTCCAAATTTACCTTGGAAGTCAACGACTTTCTGCTGAGCAAAGAAAGGATTTGTTTCAATCTGGTTAACTACTGGTCTGTGTGTAGCTCCTGCACAAATATCTACAAAGATCATGTTGTTAGCGTTGGATACACCAATGCTTTTAGTGAGTCCGTCTTCCTTGACTTTCTCGAACTGCTTCCATGTCTCATACATTGATGGACCTTTGATTTCGTATGTCTCCCAGTCTACATCTGTCACAGTCCAATGAATCAAAAGAAGATCTACATACTCAAGTCCTAGTTTTTCAAGAGATCCTTTAATCGATCCTTCGACATCTCCGAAATCAGTTCTCCAGACTTTGGTGGTAATGAAGAGGTCTTCTCTATTGATTCCCTTCTCGAAGCACTGGGCTAGAGCTTTGCCGATGATTTCTTCGTTCATATAGAGGGAAGCAGTGTCAATATGTCTGTATCCAACATCAACGACTGCATGGACAATATTCTCAATAAGTTTGTCCTCTTCAGTGCTTAAGAAAGTACCGTAGCCCATCAGTGGCATCTTGGTGCCATCTGAAAGTTCAGCATAAGTGTTTTTGTCAGCCATTTTGTTAAAGATTTTTATCTTTAGATTTTTTCAGCGGATCTCCTTTTATGTGGGGTTTTGGGGTTTTGGGGTTTTGGGGTTTTGGGG